AAGAAAAGGAAAAGAAAAGGTTGGGGAAAAAAAGGAGCAGGAGAATGCGACAAGTCCACGCGCGTCCATGCGTACTCACTACATACGCACGCACACATGACAGTTATACGTACAATCCGCGTACTGGAGAAAACCAACCCAGCGCGCTGAGCCCACGCGACTTGAATCAAAGCAAGAACGAAATAAAAACAATGAAAGCACAAAAAAAAAAGCAGGTCGACGAAAAGAAGAGAATAATTCTCTAACGCATTGCGTGGGTAAAGCCATGGCAAGGGAAAGGAATCGTGTTTCCTTCCTTATTTACACAAATACAGAGCAATATTTTGGGATACTCCCCCCTCTTCCTTTGTGCTGTTGTCCGGTGCAGGAACGCAGATGCACAGAAAAATAGGCGCAGAAGACAAATCCACACACGCACACACAGACTGACACACTTACACATGGCCATTCAAGCGACAACGGTTACATTGCCAGTTATTATCAGCTCCTCTGCAAGCGTTAAAGCGATGCCCGTTTCATTCACTGCGAGACTACTGTTACCAGGCAGCGAGAAGATGTCCTTGCAGCCCTCCCAATCGGTTCGTTGCAGCAGTTGTCGTCGCCTATCCATGAGTAGAATAACGAGTGCCTCCGGTGGTGCCACCGCCAGCGGAAGGGCGGAGCCAAGTGCGGCCTCCTTCAGAAGTTCCCAATGGCGCCGCGACAGCGCCGTCTCGGAGTGGAAATACTCGGGGCCTTTGGGTGTTTGATATCGCCGCTCATAGTTCATCACATTCACGTCGTTCTGGGCGAGCGTTGTGTTCTGCAGCGTCAGCCTCCCGTCGCAGTGCGACCAGTGATAGTTGTCGCCGTAACGAACACCAACGGCGCAGCGCCGAACGAGAGACGCCGTGATGGACGTCGTGTGTTGCGTCGAGCTGTAGCCCGACTCGATGCCCTGCTGGCAGCACTGCACAAGGGTGTGAGAAATAACCACCTCGCGACGGCTTTTGGGGCCGGCAGATAGCGCCACCCCCTCATGCATGCAACCCTCCACAATTGTGTTGTGCACAACCAGGGAGCCACCGTTCCCTTTCGCGCCAGAGTCAATCCCGTCGTCTTTCGTGTGGGCGATGACGCTATCAATGACGCGGTGTTTCCCACTCGAGAGATACATGGCGTCATTGTCGTCATCGGCGTACACCACGTCCCAAGAGGGAAAGTGTGTCCAGACCGATCGCCTTGAGGTGAAGGTACATCCCACACACTCGATCCCCATTTGAGCCCACTGCACCAAGGAATCCTCAACCTCCACTTTGGCCCCTTTGCCGGCCGCGATTCCCGCACCTTGCAGCTCCATCAGGAAGCTGTGACGGAGAACCACGGAGGCCCCATTTGTGGCAGAGATGGTGGCGGAATGGGAATGATGCTTGCCCGTGTTTGGCACCCGCAGCCCCTTCACTCCAGAACCGGTAAAGAACGTAAATTTTGCGTGCAAAGTGGCAGCGGGGCCGTCGACAAGGACCGTTCGCCAAACAGCTGCGCGACCCATCGATTCGCTGGTGACCACAATGGGCGCCGCCGCGGTCCCGCCGAACCGCAGCATCCCCGATGTGCGCAGCATCGCCGCAGGCAGCATCACGACTACACAACCCGCCGCCACCTCCAGAGTTGCCCCACGACGAACCTCGAAGGAGCCACGAATAAAGATGGGGCACACTGCCCAGCGCTCCGCGAGACCCCGGCCCACGCTCTGTCCGGCCGCTGTCGCATTTTCAGGTAGGCAACGCAGCACCGTCCCTTTCATGAGATAGCTTCCAAAGCTGACGCCTTTCGCGTCGACGATGCCATCCGCTGCAGATGGTGGTCGCGGTGGGGACGCAACGGACGCGAGAGGCGAAGAGTGTGTAATATTCGCTTCGTGCACAACAAGTTCCGTGGTGGGGGCATTGGAAACGAACAACAGTGGGCCTCTACGCGTATTTTCCTGCGCGTGACGCGCGGCGACGAAGGACTCGTCTTCACGCTTCTCTGTCATCACAACAAAGCGGACGGCACCGAAGCCACGTATAATCATGGTCTGTTGCGAGACGGCATCAGCTGTCGAGATGGGTGTGTTCGTTCTGGACCACTGGAGCACCGAGCTTCCTGAGCCCTTCTTTGGAAAAAGTACACGGGCAACAAAAACACCGTGCGTCTCTTGGGCGTCTTGAGGCCACACAGGTGGCACAACAACGCTAAGCTTGGCACCTGCAGCAGGTATTACTATCGGGTAATGCATGGGCTGAGGCTTGCTGAAGCTCCATAGCCCAAATTCCGCACTGCCACGTAGCGCACTTTGCTCCACCAACGGCATATCCACAACCCAGTAGCCCTTCCCCTTCCATCTATCACGGCCCTTGAAGGAGGGCAAGAGGCCGACACCCGCAAAGAAGGACTCCGAAGTAGAAACGCGTGCACAGTACATACCGGGGGAAGGAAGCTCATACACATCCGCCTCTGGAAGGTCTAGCCCTATCGCAGACTGTATCATTGCAATGGAAAACCCCCATCGCACGCTAACACGTGACTCTCTAACTTTGATAATGGCAGAAAGGCGCCTCATCAGTTCGCGATGTGCCTCCATGTTGTAAAGCTCTAACTTCCTATCATCTCTTTCACTCGTTTGATCGAGCTGCGAAACCTCATTCGTAGGAAAATAGGCTGCCAACGCCCGAAGCACATCCTGCCGCTGTTCCAAGAAGGCGCCCATAATCCACCGCACGCCAGCGTCATCATTGCGGGTGACCTGGTTAAACGTTGCCACCGTCGCACCTGGCGCCCCGTGAAGAATTGTTCGCAGCTCGCTCTCCGCCAACCGAACGGACCGACCAAATCGCTCTCTGTCAATGCGCTGCACCATCTCCCAAAGTATGTCGGCGTACCTGTTGAACAGCATTGGAGTCTCATAAATGGTGTTATCAAGTGTCGTCTCAGCACAATACATGACAGATGCTTTAAACCACGGCTTGCGGTGGCATGGGGCAAAGACGTTGTCATAGTCCCACCCCATCAGGCCCAGATAAATCGGCAGCTGAGCCTTCGCTGGCGCCGCCTCGGCTGACCTGAGTACCCCATAAAAAAGCGCCTCATCATCATAATCTCCATTTTGCAGTATGGTGTTGACGGCAATCCATGCCATGTACTGTGGCATGTCAAGAAATTGATTCTCCTTGTCAGTCGTCCTATTGTCGTCCGTCTCATTGTGGAGGCCGTAGAGCCATGGGTCCTTCTCCAGAAGCCGATAAGCATGCAAAAAAGAGCTGTTTTTCACGTAACTCGGTACATGGGACAAATCATGGCGAGGTTCGCGAAACTGCAGAAAGTTGCGTGAGCCTATCTCAAGCGCCTGCTCCAAGTTGCCTGAATAGGAGTCCTTTGTGGCACGCCACATTTGCCTCCAGTACGTGATACGTGTGACGTGCTCCATAGCCCGCTCGTACTCACGCTTTTGCAAGGTGGCATGAGAGCCACGGCGCAGGGCATCAAGAATGGTATTCAGCGGTTCATCCGCCACCTCATCAAAGACGGCAAAGGCCTCCTTCATTCGCCGCCAAATCGCCGGTGCAGGCGGCTCAATCGCGAGGTACACGCCCAGCGTCCGCCCCTTGCGGGCGCCATCGCTGACAGAGACGCCGGGCACAGACGGCGCACATGGATGGCTCACCGGTGGCGCAGGCGACGAAGGATAGCAGCGTAGCTCCACCAGTTGCGCAAATGAAAACATCAAATCGAGCTGTTGCAGCAAATCGACAGAAGTGCGATATGCGATGCGATGGGTGTCCTCCCACAAAGAAAGCAAAATAAATTCCCTCAAGGCCACCGTCGTATTTCGCCTGAATGGGTTGGAATTCAAAGCAGGGTTTGAGTTTGAAAACTGAATGGGAACATCGCTACGAATATACAGTGACCTTCGTTTGGTGCGGTGGAGCTTCAATGAACTTTTCCCGTACAATGTGGCCGACACAATTGCCTTCTGCAGCACAGCAGGAAGCGGCGGAGCAGCAGCAGCAGCGTCGGGAGAACGAACCGCAACACGTTCCACCCACATTTTTGCTGAGAATTCAAGCCGACTGCTAGAGGTGCGCCAGGCCGTGGCCATGGCGTCACTCATGGCAAAGCTGACGCGTGTGAAGAAAACATTTGTAGCGGGCTCTGGCAGCTCCCTCGGAGTCAGCTCCTCCCCCAGAGACCCTGTACCGGCCTCTGAGAAGAGCAAAAATAGAAGCACGCAGAGGGAAAAGATACACAAAGCGAGGAAAAGAAAACGGAGCAATACTTTCCTTCCTCGCGTCCGGGGCGCACCGAAGTCTCGTCTCCAACGGCGAGAGCTCTGCGTTGGCATCCCTAAATCTTCCTAAAACAGGCCAGGGTATCAGCAATCTAGCAAGCGAAGAAAATTCAAGGAAAAAATAAAAATAAAAATATAGAGATAGAAAAAAAACAAGATACATGACAGCCTTCTACAGCTTTTAATGTAGGAACCACGTGCATTCCAAGGCAAAGTACTTTATTCTCTTTTGTTTTTCCCTGTCTTTCGCAATATCCCTCTGTGTGTGTGTGTGTGTGTGTGTGTC